GCGTCCTCCCTCGCTGTCTGTGGGAGGCTTCATGAATGGCATGATAAGCTGCAGCCCTCAATGAGCCTCACAGTGTCGGTGGTGTAGAGAAAGCCTTGAGGGATCCCGCTCTCGCTCTCGGAGCACAGATGGCTGTGGAGTCCAGCCAAAGAACTAATAAAGCACAGGATATCAATGCATGTCTCTCACTTGCACCATGTCAGCGCTGTCTGAATGCTAAAGCATTGACCAGAGGCACCTTAGCATCACACGCCGTCCACAGCATCAGGTGGTTCTCTGGAAACAGCAGCTTTTTTCAGTAAATAGGTTAGCCAACTTTTATAATGTCACAACATTGGAAACTGTGGCAGGATGTTACAGAAGTTTCACATCGCATCAAGTTTTGTTTTTGTTTTTTTTTACACCATCTCTTAACAAATGTCTTCAGTCAGTATTTTGTCCTGTTATATACATAATTTTTTTTTATGGCATAATCACAGTTGGTTGACACATTTTTGTCATCAAAAATAATTGTAGTTGATGATAATATGCAAAATGATAAACTTGAAAAAAATATCTCTGCCTTAATTCTGATGTTTTAATTCATTTTATTGTCTTTTTTTTTTTTTTTTACATTAATTTTGTTGATGAGATTAACAGTGCCAATACAAGACAATCACAGCTGATCAGAACATTTTTGAAACTTAAAAAAAAAAAATGTGGAATGGGATTTTGGACCAATGAGCTTTTGTCACAATTTGTCTGTTTTGGACAATTTTTGGCTATTTTGATGTCCTTGCCAAATGGTAACTTGTGAATATTTATTTATTTTTTCAGTGAATTGAGTAATAAGTAATAAACATATCATCTACATATATATATAGGGCCTTATGATTTCTGTGATGTGGAAAATGCGGATGGAATCGCGGAATCCAGTCATAAAAATGTAATTTAATGTGGAATGTCACGGAATTTTGCCAAATTTTGGATGGACAAATCAAAAGTAGGTCAGTACACTTAAATCAAAGCATGATCTGGACTAGTGTCTGTGAATATTAAGCCGCAAAAATGCTATTTAGATATGAATCCTTAAAGGTGGGGTATGTGATTTCTGGTAGCCAATGTTGATATTTCAAATCACCAAAACAAACACGCCCCTACCCCTAAGGGGTCTCTCCCCTATTTTGATAGCTCAGCCCCACATTCGTACGCAACCCAGGCAACGATTAGTTCTGTGAAACAAAGCAAAACCAATGTTACACCGTGTCTACACTGGACATAGGCCTGGGAGATAAAACGGTATCGATATTTATCGACGGTACACCTTCTTTGATAACGATATAAAAAATGTTGGATATAGTGCAAGATATAGGCACGTGCTATGAGTGATGCACACACAAACACGAGCACATGCTGAATTGAGTGCAGTGCCTGCCTGTGATGAGGAGATTGTGAATGGAATTGTGAATGGAAAAAACAAAAAAAATAAACATTTGCATTTGAATGCTAGGAGTGCGTCAGGGAGCGTCATCAGTGGCGCACGAGATGCGGTGATAATTATGTAAGTGACGTTGTTGCATTTTAATGTTTTGATAGTCTAGCCCATGAGATGCGCCACTGCTGTGTTGTGCATTCAAAATATTAGAGAAATATAGAAGCTCAATGCGGAGAAGATCTTGATTAGGTGAAAACCAAAACCAAGCCATTCACACAGATGCATAATTAACGCACTTTTAGACGGACAAACATGACTGCTGCACTCGCGTCTCACACAAGAGATGTAGCCATGCAAAGTTAAAACTAGTGGTTCAACGGATCACAAATCTCACGGTTCGGATCACAATACAGTTTTTGACCCACGGATCGGATCATTTTTCGGATCAGCAAGAAAAGAAAAATATTTCAATTTAACTTGCTTTCCATTTATTACTTAAAGCGAAGTACTTATTTGATACCACAGCAAATACTACTAGATTAACTAAGAAAGTTTAAACATGATTAAAGAGACGAGAACAGCCAGTAAAAATAAGAACAAATACAAAAATTACAAGCATAGATAAATACAAAAGAATATGTTACAAATAAAATAAGGTTGGTAGTATTCAAATACAGAAATGTAATAATTAATGAAAATAACTGCAGAGTGTTCACTGCATAAATTAAATATAGATTTTTATCACAGCTGTTTTGTTGTTTGATGATCATTAATGACAGCAGCAGTATTTATAGGCCGCTGTCCCTTTAAGACCTGATGCACGGATCCGATATAATGACATCCGATAGAAATCACATCCGATTTCTTTCTCAGCTGTTTTCATTCACTTGAGACATAACTGACTGCGTTTAACTGAATGATTGTCGAGATGGGTATTTTGTCATAATTTTATGTGTATGTGTCTGTTCAGAGGTTTCATTAAAGGATTCAGCTCGGTGTTCGCATGCCGTCTGAAACGCGTGTGCGCGCTTCATGTGTGTGCGGCTGTGTGCGAAGGGAACAGCGCGCGAGTAACTAATCGAGTTCCCTTTCGCCTTTTCTCTCTGGAATTGTTTAAAATTTGCTTGCTTGTGTAAATACGAACAAATGATAAACTTATACTCTATTATGCTCTGATTATACTAACATTAGAAATTAGATATTTGTTTAATTTTTATTGTGTGTTTGACTGTTAAAACAAAAAATATTTGTTGTTTGTCTC